TTTCCCTGAGCTCAGTTAGTCCTTTACATATTAAAGGTGTATTAGCAGGGAAGATGGTGGAGTGGAAATAACACAAACAGGCTTCAGCTAGCTAGCAGGAGATATTCACCAGATGTGCTGCTGGGCTGCGTGGCCCACGTGCAGGTGCCTCTCTGGGTTTCCTCTCCCAAAGTGCCATGTTGCCCAGAGCACCAGTCCAGGGGGTACCCTGCAAAACCAAAACCAAAGCAGTAGCATGCAGAAGAGGGGAGAGGGGTCAAAGCTGCTGGTGCTGCCTAGGGCTCGCTGAGATAGCTCATCTCCTGTGAGTTAACTCCCTGCTCCTGCCTGAGCAACTGGTAGAGGACTCTGCAGGTTAGGCAGTCTGGCTCCTTATTCATCTCACAGGTAGTCCAGGGGTTCTTGTTTGGGAGAGCAGCTGACTCCTCCTCATACCTCTGTTATATGTGTGACCCAGAGTTGTAAGACATACAACTCATAGGATGATGAAGGTTGTGTGGAAGCCTTGAGAAGGGTCGTGTGCATGTCCATCTGTCCTGCTGGCTTGGCAGAACAGCAGATGGAGGGGATCTGTGTGCTTGGAGGTGTAGGGGAGTGCCAGAGCTCAGAGGTGCCCATCGATGTCTCGCTCCATGGTGGACCCATCTGCCCCAGCCAACCCCCGCAGCTCTTGCTTCCAGTACTCAGACTGAAATGCTTCAACCTCTCGACCTGCACGCAGGTGCGGAGTTGCTGCTGGGTTGGTTTGCAAGTAACCTTCCAAGGGTTAATGTATTGTGAGAAGGTTGCAAAGGGCTGAAGCCTGGAATCCCCTCGATCCCTTGCCTGGAGAAACACAAAGTCCAATAAGCCAGCACCCCTGGATTCGTGTTGGGGGGGATTAATTCATGCACTTGATGTTAAAGCTTGTCCGAGAGGTTTGCACGGGGGGGCCATCGCTAGGGCTGGTTGGCCTCTCTAAATGGTTGCTAGGGCCCTGGCATCAAGGGCCAATGTAGTTGCCCACAGCCACGGTCACGGAGGGAATTACACAGCCACAAAGAAATTGTTATTCTACATAATCTGCTCTTTGGAGAGTGACTGTGGGGAAACAGGCTGGCCCCAGCATGCCGCCAGCTCTGTGATCATAGAAGCGTGCTGGCTGCAAAGATCGGCCAGGGCTCGCCTTCTGATCTGGGGACACCAGGGCTCGAGGCGCTAATCTGCTTTATCAGCAATTTCTCTCTCCTGACACAAAGGTGTTTACTTGTTTTAACATCTCCCGGGACTCTATTTCTCCTTTTGTGTGGTCTTTATCCCCCGACGAGGGCTTTAGCCCAGATTACAGACAGAATTAAGGCATTTGGCGATGTGCCTCAGAACTGTGTGATGCTGGATCAAGGAGCAGAAAGTAACAAAATAATGGGGGGAGATGCTGGGAGTGACCCCACTGCGGGATCCGTGCTGTTGGCTTTCAGGACCGCTTCATTGTCCTGAGAACCAAGAGCCTGTTGGAGAGGGGTGGCCATGCGGCAGGGTTTGAAAAGCAGGTGCTTCAAGGTTTATTGTGTCCAGCATTTTTGATGTAGAGGGTGTGAGGAGGAGGAGGAAGAAAAGGAGAGTTTGCGATAGGTGGCCGTTCCAAGCAGCTGGGCAGATTGTCCCTCCGTTCCCAAGAGTCTGCCATGGCTGGGTGTTGCTGGCTGCTGGGGCAGGTGGAGCGATACTGGGGACGGGCTGTGCCATGTGCCTGATGCAATTTCATATGGCCCAGGGAAGGGGTTCAAGCTCCTTCTTGCAGTCTGGCAGGGTGGGCCCTCAGCAGGCACCATCCACCTGGTGAGCTGCTGGTTCTGCACGTGAACAAGCAGCAGAGTGATATGGCCACAAAGCATCTGGCTTAGAGCTTCATGGAGATCTTGCTTTTGCTCTTTCACAGCAAGCAAGGAATTAAAAAGAAGGAGGGGGGTCAAAAAAACCCCCACACTAGCCTCTGGAAAGTCATCTCCAGAGCAGCCCTGGGGTGGTTGCTCTTGACCTGTCATGCTCAGCCCCAGGTATGGTGTTTGCAGCATGCAGTGTAACTGGAGAGGGTTGAGGAGAGAGCAGCCATGGCAGACTGGGTCAGGAGAGTCTGATTTGCCTGTGGATCTGAGCTGTGTGTCAAAGATATAGGAAATCTGCCCGCTGGGGTTATTTTGAAGGATGGAGTCTGGGATGGGATGGGATGGGATTGACCAGGGAAGTGGCTGTTGCAGATTATCTGGAGTTTGACTAAGTTGAGAATTGTCTCCCATGGAAATGGAGCCCCATCATTCAGAGTACTGGTCACTTCTCCCAAGGAAAATGATCCTGTTCTGCTGGGGGTCAGCTGTGCCTGTTGCTTGGCTCTTCCTCTAACAGCTGTGACTCCTGCTGGTCACCTTCCATGACAGTTAGTGGCCCAGCCAGTAGCAGAAGCTGTGGGAGGGAGAGGAAGATGGTGCAGGCTTCTGCATTCTTGTTAAATCACAGAAATGAGATCTAGGAGACTACTGTGACACCATCTCTGCTCTGGCCAGCTGAATTGGAAGGGCACTTTGCTCTAAATGACTCTTCCCCTGTTGTGTTTCATTTCAGTGGTCAGCTGTTGACCTGTTTAGGGACTGACTTCCACCGTGGAGCTGGAGTCCTTGATGTCTTCTACGAAACGCCCTCCCTTCTCCTTTCTTGTGGGTATGACACCTACATCCGCTACTGGGACATACGGACCAGCACCAGGTGAGCCTTCCCTGCTGCCATCTGGGGCCTTCGTGAGCTCCTGGGCTCTCCTTGTGTGGTGTCTGGGGACTCGCCTGCAGCTGGATTAGCTCCTTCAGGCAAATTGGGCCTCAGTTCCAGCGGTGGAGGAGTGGAGGCTCAGCCCCGCTCTGTTTGTGTTGCCCTTGCAGGAAGTGCGTCCAGGAGTGGGAAGAGCCCCATGACAGCGCGCTGTACTGCATAAGGAGTGATAAGAACCATATGATTGCCAGCGGCTCTTCTTACTACGGCGTGGTGCGCCTCTGGGATAAGCGGCAGACTCGGTGCCTGCAGGTGAGGGCCAGCTGGGCAGCAGCAGAGCTTCTGAGTTGTTCTCTGGCAGCCCAGTGCCCGTGTCTCTTTGGAAGAAGAGAGAGAGGCTGCTGGGCTGTCTTTGGGATGAACCCACCATGGGGAACCTAACCTATATGCAGGGAAAAGCCTGCTTTGCTCAGGCATCTTGACCTTTGGGACTGTAACACTGGTTGGGGCCTTTGGGCTGACCTCTTCTTTGAAAGGTTGATTCTCCTGTTTTCTTGCAGAGCTTTCACCTGTCTTCACCCACCAGCAGCCCAGTGTACTGCCTCCGTTTCAGTACCACCCATCTGTACGCTGCCCTGGCATCGGCCCTGCACGTCCTAGACTTCACGGCCCCATGAAGGGCACCGCAGCTGCTTCTGGTCACCCCAACTCAGCGGAGTTGACACTTGGCTCAGGGAATCGCAGGGCAGGAGAGGTGAGAATGGCCACCAAGGCTTCTGAAGGGATTTTTTTGCCTGCCAGAAAGCTACATTGAAGAGTGCACAAAGGGCCAGACTTTCTCAACCTCACCTGCCCATTAGTGGAAATAAAGGCCGATTGTCCTTTATCTTTTTTATTTTATGCAAGTCAGGGTTTGTTTTATTAACTGTGTTCTTTTTTCTGTTTTGTTTTTTTTTGTTTTGTTTTTTTCTGTGGATACAGCATTTGAGGGGCAAGTTGAGCCGGGATGCCCTGTCAGCTGTGTGTGCTGGTCAGGTTGAGATCAGCCAAGCTCTGAGCCATGTGAAGCAAGTCTAGGCTGTGTGGGGTGGACTGATTTGGTGGAAGGGAAAGGTGCCTGGAGCAGGGCCCACCTTTCACCTGCGCTTGCTCTCCTGACAGCTGCTTGTGTTGTCCTTCGCGGCCAAGAGCAAGAATTGAGCTAAAAGGCAGAGCCAGCCCTGCTTTCAGTGTATGCCTCCCCAAGCTGGCCATCAGGTCAGGCTGTGCACTTGGCAGGGCTGAAACAGTCGCATTTTGCTAAATAAAACTCTGAAGGGAAACAAAAGAGACTGTATGTTTTGTTTCAAGTTCAAGGGGCTGCGATGTTACCTGCTGATCGCAGAGGCCTGGCTGGGCAGAGGAGGTTGGGCCTATTTTCGGACACTGGCTGCATAGGTCTCTCTCCCCGGCTAGACCCTGTGACACTGCTGCGTTGAAGGCAGTTTCTGGGATCTTGGATCTCGTGTCACTTGTTCAAACAAGAAATCAAGAAGTAGGATCTGCAACTCACATGCTGCCTGCATAATGAAGCAGCAAACTGGACTAGTGCAAACACCAAGGCCTTGATGCGATTTACTGGGATCCCGTAGGTCCATCTAAGTGGGCTCTGCTCCTTTTTCTGTCAGCCTTCTGAACGTGAGCTGGGTCTCAGAACAACCATAGCTTTCAGCATGCTCTGTGCTGTCTGGATGAATGCGGATGTCTGTGGATGTATATGCTGTGGGTGAATGCAGCGGTGTCTGGGGTCTGGTCCTCCGTGGGCAAGGAGGTGCTGTGAACCCTACTTGGCTGTGAGTTTGGGTATCCTGGATAGGTAAAGGAGAGGTTTTGTATCACAAACTGGGAGCATTTCTATGGCAAAGCACACAGCATGGTCCTTTGTTAGGACTTAATAGGTAATTTCCACTGTCAAGAGGCTGCTCTTCCCTTGTGATGCACAAAAATTGGAAGAGGACGTTTGCTGGAGCCCTTGCCTGAGCAGGGGGCAGTGGAACCAAGCAGCTCCTCACCTGCTCGAAGGCAGCCCTCTGCTCCCAGTGGATGCGAGGCAGCAGGTCAGGGTGCAAAGTAATGTAAAAGCATGGCTTTGCTGCAGGATCACATTCTCACAAGGATCTTCCCAGCACTGCTGCCTGTCACAGCTCCTGATCTGTGCCTGTTCCTCTGCTGCCACTCGTGCCTGCTTGCTGCCAGCTCCCTTGTAGCTACCATGGTGCTACGTATTCTCCTTGTGTAAGTGGCAGAGTTGATGTCTGTGTGCCCCGAGCAATGATCTACTGCTGTAAAAAGATGCCACGGCTGGAACAATCTTCCATCGGCTCAAAGCTGTAGATCCCAAAGGCCGCTAGCCCAATATAATGATTCGGGGGGACCTACACTGAGTTGTTGCTGAAAAGATGGTGCTTTGCGTCAGGGGTTGCTAACTCCTGCTGCTGTACTGCTTGGAGCACTTTGGGCTTTGCGTGTGAGGATAGCTTTAGGTAAGTGATCAGGCATGAGACAGAAGACCAGAGAGCGAGCTGGTAGAGCTTGGGAGTGGGGGAGGTCTGTTTTTTCTCAGGTCCTGGTGTGTTACAGGTCCTTTAATGAAATTGGGAGGGAGGGATGGAGATATTAAATGTCTCTGGCAGTGTCCCCAGGGAGAGGCTGTGAAGGAACTGGAGTAACTGTGGGGTGGGAGGAGAGGTTTTTATTGCACTGGGACTTGGGCAAGGCCCAGAGTAGGAATGAGCATGTCAGCTGAGCAGGTGAACAAGTAGCATGGGTGCGGGCGACGGCTCCTGTGGCAGCCCTTCCTGCAACACTGCTGCTGCCAGTCCCTTTCTGCAGCCCACGTTGGTGGGTCCTCCACTCCTGTAGCTGCTTTTAGGTTCTTCTTGGCTGAAGCCTGGAGCAGAGCTGCAGCCCCATGGTGGTGCCAGCACTGGCGCGTAGAAAGATGGACCCTCACATCTCAGGTGACTTTGGGGAATGGGGAAGCTGCAAGTGGGGCTGGCGCACTGGCTCTGACGAGCTCTGCTGGTTGATGGTGCCCCTGTTTTGGGAGGACTGTGCAAGTGGGTCCTGGAGCCACCCAGCAGCGAGGCTCTAACTGGGGCAGCCACCCAGGCTTCTAAGGAGCTTTCGTGGTTTGACAGCAGTCCCCATCAGGGGAGCTATGCTGGGAGCCCGTCACCCGCTCACTTCAAAGTAGGGTTTGTTTGGGCAGGAGCTGTTCAAATACGAACTGGGATGGAAGGACGTGGCCGCTGGCCAGCAGCCCCTGTCACCGGTTTCCCCTCCGTGCTATGCAAATGAAGGCAGCTGCATTTCAGTTCCCGCGCTCTGCACAGCCGCCTGCATTCTGCGCGTCACGTTGCGCATGGCTGGCGGTAAGGAAGTGGTTGTGCGTCCTCCTCTTCGCCCTGTTTCGTAGGCTGTGCCCGTTCAGGTCTAAGCGTTGATGCTGTTTGCAGAGATATCGGAGTCGCCAGAGCATCCTTCTAACTGCGCAGAGGACCGTGCACAACAGCGCGGGAGTGGAGTGGCTTCCAAGCACATCCCAGGCAGGTAACGGGTGTGAGGAGGGGGATCTTGTTTTCCAAACGTTACTGCCTTCAGTGACGGTGGCAGACAGAGGGAATTCCCAAGGGGAACTACCCTACCCAGCTGTCATGTTGCTTCTGCTCATGGAGGATGGGGAGAGGGCTGCTGGCTGTGCCTGTGGCGCACTTGCTTTGCACGCTGCAGCTACCCACAACTCGTAGAAGGATCATAAATGTCTGTGTAAATCAGCAGGCCAGGCAGTAAAGAGATCGACCGCCCTGCTGGCTCCCTGGGCCTGCAAAGATTCCTCCAAATGGCTCTATTAACAACAGGATTAATTTTTATTAGAAAAGGCAAAATAAATACCATGAAGCTATGCCAGAGAGCTGCCCCCCACCTCAGCCTCTTAGCAGCCACTGCCTACTGGGTCTTACAATCGCCATCCCCATTGTTAGCTGCCTTTATCTTCTTCAGCTCCTTCTGCAGCTGCTCTTCTGCAGCCAGGATCTCCTTCGGCTTCTGGTACTGTAGGACAGAGAGAAATGCCCTTAGCACTCCCGTTCAGCCTCTGCTCCAAGCAGACCAGCTGGGGCCCTCCTGTCAAGGGAGGCCCTTCTGTTACCGGCTACTTCCGAAGCCTGTTTGGAGGTGGTGCCATCGCGCTAGTGACATTTGCCAAGATCTGGAGTGTTTTTTACAGCGCAAGTAAAACTTTCCAGTTGGATGTGGAGTCCTGGCCCCCACCAACCCCTCTGAAATATTGTGGCAAGCTGTGTCACGCAGATCCCTGGTGTGCTCGCTGATTGTATGCTCACATGTGTGTTTATATATATATATAAAAAATACGCATTTTTTTAAAAGGTAGACAGAGAAGTAAGAGTTGCAGTTCCTGTGTCCTCCACTCCGAGCCCCCTTTCTCCCTTGCCCAGCTGCAGTTTAGCAGTGGGTGCAGGTGCTTTTTGGCAAGGGTCTGGCCCATAGCAAACAGAAGCTGAGAAGGACTGAAGGTGCTCCTCTTGGCCTGTTTCCTCTGCACATGCACCCCCAGCTCTGCTGTGAGGTTACCCAGGAGGGGATGCTCACCATGTAGCTGACTTCTACATTTAAGAAGATGAGCACCTGCCGCTCAAAAGCATCTGTCTGCCTCTGTCTGCTCCTTGCAACAACAACAGCTAAGTGCCCATTTTGCTAGTCTCTCACTTCCACCATGTGTGTGGAAGCGCATCCTCTCCATGTGTCCTCTCTGGCACAAGCCAGCAGGTGATTTTTTTTAAGACTGTGAGACATCTAAGTGCAGCAGGTCCTTGGACTCATAACACTTAGGCTCTGAGGTGAGAGAAACTTGCTCTCACTGAGACTGGAGTCTTCCTCAGGCCTGAGGGAGGGGATACATGGAAAACAGGGCACGACAGACACTCTTCCACCTGCAAGTCACCTTGAGCAGCAAGCAGGGCCCCTCCTGCAGCCTGGGCTGTCCTGGCTAGTGTCAGCATGCCCAGTGTAATCTGAAACTCCCACTGACTGCATGACAGAGAAGGAGGCTCATCAGTGACCCTCAGCAGATCTCCCTGCTCTGCCTCATTTCCCCACGTGTAAGAATTAACTTCTTTGTGGACATAAAGAGAAGGGCAAAGTGCTGTTCTGCGTGGCTAAAAGCTCACCGTGATGATCAGGGTGTTGTTGGCATGGGTGAAGCTCAGGGCAGCTGCGTCCAAGGGGAGCTGGTATCGGTCCAGGTCAGGAATAGAGAACTTTTTGTAGTACCTACAAATGAGAGAGGAGACAGAAATGAGGAAGCTGGTGTTGCTATTCCCCTGCTAGCAGTGCTGAGCTACAGAGCGCTGTTCTGCAATGTGTAGATGAGGACAACAGACCTCTCAGCGTTGGCAGGAGGACCCTGTGCCATGTTGTGTGCCTGCTGGTGCCCCCAGGCTGGCAGGAGCATTGGAAACAAACCTCCAAACTGGAAAACTGAGCTGGCAAAAGTCTTGAAGGGCTTTGGTGTGTGAGAGCAGGCTTGGTCCTTCCAGGTTTCCCTTGAGTAGTGGCAGACATGGTTAGGGACAGACTACTCAGCCCTACCAAAAGGTGTCCCTTGTCTTTGTCCCTGCTCACGGCCTCTCATTCCCTCTAAGTACCAGCTTCCAGTAGCTCTTGTCAGAACAGCTGTCAAAGCCGTTGCGTCCTATGACTTACGTTTCTGAGTGATGCACCGTTTGTGTTGCAATCCTTCCTAAACCCATCTTTTTGGCCTCTTGCTATGCTTCCTAGATCACTGCCTGCTTTGGTGGCACGGCGGTGCTCAGGCATAGCCCTGGGCACAGAGCTCCAGGTGTAGCTGCCCACAGTCACCTGGGCCTCTGCTCTGCAGCATCTCCATGCAGCCCCCATGGTGGCTG